GTAAAAATTGTACCTGGATGTGGTCCTCTGTCTTAAGTGTACACATAGGAAGAGTAAGCTGTTACTTGGTACCATTATTTCTATGTTTCTATCTTTATCTTCTTTGCAACCATTTTTAAGATCTATATTTTGCTGGCAGTTAAGAAATAGAACAATAGCCATTGCAACCATATGATTTATAAGCTTCCTCAATAAACCTGTAACTGTTTAAGTTTTAACCTGACTCCTTCAGTTGCTGTAACAGAACCAGGCACAATTTAAAAGAACTTCAGCCGGTCTAAAGGGACCGATATAGGGAGCCCTGACCGTCGGCTGACAGTCACAACTAGTCTCTAGTTATGTCAGTCTGAGTCAAACAGACATGAAGCCAAGCAGCAAAATCTTATCCAGATCTTAGCTCCCTCCCCATAATTAGGGTTACAGCATCTCCGGTTAGGGGGGGCGTGTCTCCACCCAGGATCCAGCTGTGTTATCTGCACACTCTCTTATCCAGGCAAGTCAGCTGTTCTTGAATCTGGGGGAGGGGCAGGGAAGGACTCTGTAGTGATGAGCGCTGGGGACCATTTTACTCTCAGACCAGGTCTACATGGGTACATCTACACGGCACAGTTATTTCGGAATAAGCTACTCCAGAACAGTTATTCTGAAATAGCTTATTTCAAAATAGCACGTCTAACACTTCAGGGAAGCCTCAAAATAAGTCCGAGGCCGGTTTCCCTAGTGTAGACGTGCCATCTCGATTTAGAGCCCCAGGAGGAATAACTTAGCCCCTCACCGGGGCTGTTCTATTTCAAAATAGCAGCAGAGCAGCATCTACACACGCCTTATTTCCAAATAGCTATTTCGGAAGAGGCGTTATTCTTCGTAGAATGAGGTTTACAGAGGTCGGAATAAGCCGTCCCTTATTTCGAAATTATTTCAAAATAATGGAATTGCTGTGTAGACGCACCCCACTAGACCTGGAAGGTCGGCGTACAGTCTGCAACTCCAGCTACGGAAAATACATTAAGCCCTCTTGGCACCATTCCCACTGCAGGAGGATGATGTGAGCAAACTCTCCCGTTGGCTTCCCTTACTCCTCGGGACTGTCAGGAGTAGAGTCGCCAGCCAGAGCTGTCCTCACCATTTGATTTACGGGTCTATACTAGACCCACTAAATCAAATGCCAGAACGTCGATCTCCGGCACGGTGAGTCACGATGTGCCCTTAGTGACCAGGAAGGATGCAAGCTGGCACCTACTAATGTTCATTTGTAATCCAAGCACTGAGATCTAGCCAGCGGGGCTAACTGTTCCCATCAGGTAAATTACCTCAACAGGTTTAAGAAGGATGTTTTAGTTTGTTTCTTTTACCTGATGCAAGGACAGGATAAACATCTTCAAAAACGCCTAAGGGATTGGGGAGCCTAAATCCATTTTCAAAAGTGCCTCGGGCTCTCGGCGCTTAAGTCACTTATGAAAAATCTCACCTTTGTCTACCAGACAAAAGCATTTTTAAAGCAGGGGGTTGCTGGGCCAGGACACGGGTCACTCCTTGAATAACACGGGTGCAGAAGAGGGACACACTTTCTGCAAGGCCTTTCCAGAGAAGCCAGGGAAATATTTTCACAACTTCTCGGCCCCAGCTCCAGTCAACGTGCAGAAAAGCGGAAGGATTTTCAGTTCAAATGGGGCATCGTCCCTGTCTATTTTAACCTGCTTTCTAAAAAGGGAGCGAGTCTTCTTTTGCAGAGCCGCACCATTGCGTTCCATAGAGAAGGTTGCAGTGGAACAGAATGTCAGAAACCCAGGTGCTTGGGAGTGGTGCCACTGATGTCAAAATGGAGCAGCAACAGGTGAGAGGAGAAACTGGCTCCAGATGTGTTTCAACTTAGAAGTAGGGATGCAAGATCCCGATTAATCAGCTAACGAGTTAAATGTTAGGTTAACCTAATGTTTAACGGGCTAACTGACTAAGCCCGTTAAACTGGAGCAGCCCTTGCTCCTGGGGAACTGGTTAACCGTTACCTGGTGAGCATCACTAGGTAAAGGTGATGCTAACCGGGTAACCAATTACCCGTTCACATCCTTACTTAGCAGCGTGCCAGAGGTAAGATGTTCTGCTCTTCTCTCCTGGTCTGGATGACTCACTTTGCACACGATATCCCTGGAATCATGTTTTACAGTGACAGAAAGTGCAAGGGACATGACAGATGGGATTTAAAGGAGAACCGCACCAAGGCGAGAGGCACAGGAACTAGTGTGTACCATGACGTATAACAAGCTGAGCCCCCCCCCAATCCTCTGTAGGACTGCCACTGAAGACCACGGGTGCTGGGCGGGCTCAGCACGTTGCAGAAGAAGGCGGAAGAATGGATGCGAATCATAAAAGAAACACAACCCATGGTGCTGAGGTAATGGCAAAAGATTTCATTAGTGCAATTAACATTTATAATGGTATGTTCTTTAATAGAGAATTTAAATAAGGCTTTGAATAATTACACACACTAAAACTAACACCCCATCACTTTATCCTGCATGGAAAAGCGGCAGAAAAGCCTCCACGCCCTACAAGGTCCAATTACGAACAATTACATTCAAGAAGAGGTGGCTTCCCAAACCCCCAACAGCTGCTTGTTGCATCGTTAGTTTTCCCAAGCCTCCTTGCTCCCTCAGCGTGAGAAAAGCGTGAAGAGCAGACACGCAGCACTTTCACCGTGGGGAGGGGAGCAGCAAACGTGCTGAGTAGCACTTCCCAAGCGGGAATCTCACCCAATTTCTTTATGGAGATGGAAGCTCATGGAAAGAACAGATTTTTTTTTAATGCAGAGGAAGGTGAATTCTCTCCTCCCTACCCAAACACATTGTGCGTCATTATGGAAGTTTGGAAAAAAATGGTGTGGGCGTGTGTTTATGGCTCAAGTTCTCCTTTAAAAAATCCTACACACAAGAACGGTGGGGTATCGGTGACAATCAAAGCAGCATATGAAATAGTAATATACTGTTTCAAAGTCTGCACTGCCCTGCAGAACCCGGACTCACAATGGGCTCTCTTTGTTCTTAACAGATCCAATCTACACTGGATATGTAAAAAACAAGGGGACCGTGTCACCAAAAAACAACCTACACGGTGTAAAATCTTAAAAAAAAAAAAACCCAAATCAAACCAAATACAAATGTTGGCGAAAGCTCAGAAAAATTTATCATCGATTCGGAAGTGGGGCCTGGTGACGTCATCTGGGTTGATGAAGACGGAGATGGATTTCCCCGGGTTCTCCGTCACCAGCTGCTGCAGTTTTTTGGCTAATCGGTCATCGGGCTGGTTGGGGTCCCCTCCATCGGACTGCGGGGAGGGGATGCTGCTCGTGCTGCCTCGCCTCTGGAGCTCCAGCGTCAGCCGGTTAGCGGCTTTGACGTGCTCGATGGCAGTTCGGAGGTGCTCCGCGGGATCCGAGCGGACCGAGGACAGCTTCCGCGCATGCAGCATGACCGTCTCCTCGGACAGGTGCTCCAGCATGTTGCACTGGGGGATGAAGTAATTCGGACACATCTTATTGACCAGGCAGTGTTGCAGATCGTCAATGAGGCCCAGCAAGAAGTGGGCTGCGTAATCCTCTTGAGCCAAGTAGCTGGCGGGTAGCCGGTCGCACGCCCACAGCATCATGCTCCGCAGGTGGTAGGGGCTGATGGCTTTGGGGCGGGAGAGGAGTTTGATGATGATGGCTTTGCAGGCCTGGTAGGCTTGCATGAGGCTGCTGGAGATGCACTTCTTCAGCTGCACCTCGCTTCGGGCGAACGACAGCCTCCACTCATTGTCCTTCTTGCCCTTGTAGGAACAGGCAGGCACTAAGTAAAACCCGCTGATGACTTCCTCCTCTGTGATCTTCCCATCCCAGAAGTGGTTCTCCATCAGCCAGCTCTGGGCCACCGCCGGCCACCCTTTGAACGACACCACGGGGACAATATCGTACAGCATGCGGCTGCTGCCCACTCCCAAGATGACGGATATTATCGTCCCATTCTTCTCCACCTTCTCCACTTTGGGCATCCCTCGCTGCGGCTTCTTCTGGATCTCGGACAGGACGATGCTGATGGAGTCATAGAACCAGTCCGCCACTTTCGTGGGTGAGAAGAAATAATTGGTCGCCCCGTTGATATGGTCCACGATGGTGCAGCAGTCTTTCCATTTACTTATCGTCCCCTCGTCAAAGAGCCGAAGGCTCAGCCAGGAGTGGCACAGAGCCGAGTGGCGCATGTCCAAGGTGACCGGCTGGTTTCGGTCGTGCAGTTTCAGCGCCGGCACGAGGAGGGTGAAGTCCATGTCGTAGTCGGTTCCCCGTGCGTAAACGTTTAATTCGTCGAGGTCGAGATCCACCACACCTTCCCGAACGCCGCCCGAAAGGAGCAGGTACTCGTTGGCCACTGGGAGCTTTTGGTCCAGCTTCTGCACCATCCCTGCAAGAGAAGCCAGATTCATGTCAGAAAGCAGGACAGATTTTGGATTGCATGCTTAGTTCTCATGAAAACTACCGTGTGTCAAAGACGACATGCAGCCGCCATGGAAATCCAGCACTGCTCTCCTGTGCTACAGGAGACCGAGGTTTTGTCTAGAAGAATTAACATGTAGTAAGGTGGGGTGGAAATTCATAGCGCGCTGGTGCGCTACCCGCTAACTGGCTCTCTGGACATTGCTACTGAACACTAAAAGTTCCCCCATGTGCTTGGACAGCAGAGGGTCAACGCATGCTATTCAGTGCATAATAGCAAGGCTGACGGACTCAGCGTGGCAGGCTGTGCACGGCGCTGTACATTGACAGTCCTACCCGCCACACATTAACTCTCCACCACGACAAGCCCTTGGACAGTGCGTCCCTGCTGGGGATAAAGCCAGCCCGGCTCCCTCTGAGACCACAGCAGGGCCCCCCTCAACCTCTGGCTCCGTTGTTCAGAATCAACCTGTTGCAGCTGACAGTCGGACGCAGCAGTCCAGGTGGAACCTCTCTAAACTGGGACTCTCTGGTCTGGCCACGTCTGGGGACTGGCAGGACCCCAGATGGTCCTGGACCAGAGACCCCTGGAGGAGGAAAGGCAGCAGGGAGCCCGGCTGAGCTGGCAGCAGTGGGGCTAGTGACCAGGACCCCTGCCAGGCCTGCTCTGCGCTGCCCTACACACTGCCGCTCACTCAGGACAGGCTGCCAGGTGGGCCCCAAAACCTACGCGCAGTCCAAGAGAGATCACAGCGTTACGAGTCGGCCCCGTGGAGCACAGAGTGCCTGGTGCGACCTCCCCAGCCAGGGCAGAGCCGTGTTCCAGGCAGAGCCCAGTTCACTGTTCACATCGACATTCAAGCCGTCTCCCTAGCTCGGCACGTGAGCGCAGAACGCTTAGTCGGCACGTTCAGTACCACGGCTTAACGGGTCTGTTGTACAGCGACCAGCCAGACTCACTCGGACAGTTCTATAGAAATGCAAACGGGGTTGGCTATTGCTCTGTAGAGAAAATACAACAAACTGACCGGAAAGGCAGAGAGATACTTAAAAACCAAAAGAGACAGCAGCAGCTCCGTCTGAGATTTAACCTCCCCCCCATTCAGCACATTGAGAATTAAAGTGTGTGTGTGTGTGTGTGAGCCAGACGTGCACGCACACACTTTGTGACCCATTGTAAGCTGCCATGTGTCCTGCCTTGCGCTAGGGGGCGGTGGCAGATGAAACCAAGCGCGCTAGCAGAATATGGAAAGCGCCATTGTGGTCTGGCTTGCAAACCCCAGGTCTTGGTTTGAGGCACGACTGCCTCTCCCTTTGCCAGCCAAGAAGCCGCTGAAGCGAGGGTGGCCAGGTGTCCAGTATTGACCCGGACAGGCCGGTATTTTCGCCTCCTGTCCGGTAAAAAAATTCAGAAAATACTGGACACCTGAAATGTCCTGAAATGTCCGGTATTCTCTGGCTTTTTCCCCAGCCAAGAGGCGAAAATCCCGGGTACTTAGCCTGGTGCTGCAGGGGAGCTGTCTGGCCCGGAGCAGGAAGACAAGATGGCAGACGGCCGCTGGCAGCCTGTTAGGGCCAAAAAGCCTCAAAAGCCAAGCGTCTCCCCCCTTTTTTTCCCCAACAGAATTTTTTCCCTGGAGGTTTTTTTTGGGGGGGGTTGGTATTTTGGGTTAAACCATCTGGCAACGCTAGCTGAAGCAGGCGGCACGCTTTGCTCGCCGGACATGCAGCTCGGACACCAGCGCAGCCCCCAGGAGCCTGTGCTATTCATTCACCGCCCTTGTATTTGGCTGCTGCGCCGGGCGGTGCTTGGGGGCCTCGCTCGGGTTGGGCTCCTGTGAACGGGGCAGCCCTCCCTCCCCTACACGCGGCAACCACCGTCTCGGCCAGCCTGGGCCAGGCCTGGAAGCTCGCCGGCAAAAGGAAACTGCAGCCTCCCGAGCGCGGGCTGTGCCTCTCCCTGCCCTCCCCACATCCTGTCACCTCGCGGGCAACGTCCTCCCGACTCTGCCCCCTGAGCCCCCCTGCTACCTCGGAGAGCCCCCTGGCTGGGGCTGCTCCTTGGAGGGGGCGGTGGCAGGGCGCAGAGTCCTCCCTCTCCCAACCCACAGGGCTCAGTAGGAGCATCAGCCAGGACAGGGTGGGCCCGATGTGGCAGGGCTCACAGCAGCAGCAACGGGGCTCAGCGGGGAAGTCCCCCTTCTGCTCCCAGGCTTGGGGCGACTCCAAGAAGCTGCAGCCTTCCCAAGGCTGGAGCCCCCGGCCCCGTCAGA